TTTTAATTAGACTTTGAAGGAGAATCATGATTTAAAACCAGACATGGTGAAATACGGAAGCATAAAACTAAAGACAAAAATCACTTCAAAAAAACATAGTTTTCAGGGCCGGCCCGTGGCTCACTCAGGAGAGTGTGGTGCTGATAACACCAAGGCCACGGGTTCGGATCCCATATAGGGATGGCTGGTTCGCTCACTGGGTGAGCGTGGTGCTGACAACACCAAGACAAGGGTTAAGATCCCCTTACCAGTCATCAATAAAAAAAAAAAAACATAGTTTTCATAAAATAAGACAAATAGCAAACTATATATGAAGTGTATAGGACACATATCCATAATAATATACCACTAATAATAACCTAGTAAAGAGCTCAAATCAATAAGAAAGGAGAAAAGAATACAAGTGTATCATTAATGAATATAAATGGCAGAAATAGGACTTTCTACCCTCCCTAATAATCAAGGATCAAAAAATTATATATGAATAGGATTTTCTGCAATCACATAGGCAAAGACAGAAAAGATTCATAATAGCCAGTATAGGACATAATAGGGAAAAAAGGAATTCTCATATTGGTATACTCCAAGAGGCAATTTTACATGTATCAAAATTTTAAACGGACATATTCTTTGACTGAACAAGTCTCCAACTGGGAGTTATCCTAAAAAAAACTTCCTCATATATATATATATATTTTTTTTTTTTAACGTATGTATATGTTAGTATATGACAATATAACGAGTAGTGTCGAAAAAATTGAAAACAATATAAATGTCCATATAATAGAATGCTACATAATTTTTAGCAATGATGAAAAAAATTCTTAAGTTTTGAAATAGAACAATGTTCACAATATAAACTGTTTGATATATTGCTCTGTACAAGTGATGCACTAAAAGCCAAAATGGCCTACTTAGGGTAATGAATAAAAAGAATTTGGTCAAGAGTTCAGATCAGCCACCAAAAAAAAAAAGAAGAAGAATTTATTTTACCTGGAATTAAGTTCTAGAAGGACAGATTTGAATGATGATTAGTAACAGTTTTGATCTGATATAAGAATACCAATTGATTGGTCACAGCTTTCTGGAATGTTGTATTAAAAAAATTCTTCAGCAGATATAGATTAATTAAGAAAGTTGTGGGCTGGCTGGTAAGCTCAACTGGATAGACATCAGTGCTGATAACAAGGTCAAGGGTTCAGATCCTTAATACCAGCCAGCCAGAAAAAAAATGGAGGACCCATTTATATTCTAAGAACCCAAGAAAGCCAATTCCTCCTCACCCTTGCTAACATTAATATCAACTTAGACAGATTTTTGACATTGCCCTTTACCTATTAGAAATCCTAAAAAGCCAAAAATAAAAAAATTAATAATTAAGTGATCAGTTATTGATAGTGGCCACAAAGAGGCAGGGAAGTACAAGCTATGTTGACATGAGTAATTCCCCTTAAATACAATGACAGTCTTCTGTGGGATAAAAGTACATCCAAATCCTTCAGTTTTTCACTTTTAGTTAGGGGACAGATTGTCCACAGAAACATCTTCAGAAAGGGAACTCACTTTTCCTCCAGATCATAACTTACAAAAGCAACATTCAGCAAATACTTATTAACATCTTGTATCAAGCAACCTGTGAGGCACTAAATATATAAAAACAATCTACAAATCTAGCAAGCAAGAGGGAAATAATTAGCTAAAACACAGTAAGTTCTATAGGAGCACACACTACCTACAGTGGATAAGGAGCAGAAGAGTGTCCTTTTAGAGGAGGAAAAACATAGTAAATACAGAGGACTATAAGGGAGAAGAGGAATCACTTGAGGAAATAAAAAGAAATTCTGTGCAACTATCACAAAGGAATGTCATTGTGACAGCTAGTGAAGGGGACATGGTAATATGGCAGAAGATGATGATGGAAAAATACACGGTGAGGGGATCAGTTTACAAAGGACCTAACGAAGCTTGTATGCAGCAGCTCTGCTAAATTTACTTGCTAATTCTAATGTTTGTAGATTCCATTGGATTTTCCACATACACAATCATGTTATTGCTGAAAAAAAAATTGTACATCTTTCTTTCTAATCTTTATACCTTTTATTTATTTTTCCTGCCTTATTATAATGGTTTGGCCCTGCAGTAAATAGAAGTGGTGTTAGAAGCCACACCAAACTCAGCAGAAAAGCATTCACTGTATCACCATTGAGTATAATGCTGGCTGTAGATTTTTTAAATAGATAACCTTCATCATTTTCATGAAGTTTCTTTCTACTCCTAGTGTTCTGAAACTTTTGATCATAAATGGCCACTGAATTTTGTCAAAGGGTTTTTTCTACTTCTGTTGAGATGATTGTATGGGTTTTCTTCTTTATTCTAATATGGTAAATTACATTGATTTTCAATGTCACTCAGTCCTGATGTTCAATTCTTTTTACATATCACTAGGTTCTACTTGCTAATATTTATATGTTAATTTTACCAAGAAAGCAAGCAAGGAAGGAAGGAAAAAAGGGAGGGAGGGAAGGTTATGGAGGGAGGGTAAGGCAAGGTGGGGGAAGTGAAGGGAGGTAGGAAGAAAGGAAGGTGTTGGGTATGAGAAGTTGAAGGTAAGAAAAACACGATAGCAGAAAAGAATTATTCAATAGCAGCATTAGTAAGCCACATTGAGACAATCTCACAAAAAGAACAGGAAAGAAATGATTTTTTTTTTAATTAACCAGTTCAAGAGGTCTAATACCCATATAATATGAGAGAGAATAAAGAAAAACTTGAGGAAGAAATCATCAACAACAACAATTGAAGAAATTTTCTCAAAATTACAGGACTTGCACTTCCACATTGAAGGGGCCCAGCAAAACATATGAATAAAAACAACACTGCAATGCTTCAGAACACTGGAAACAAAGCAAATATTTTATAGCTCCTAGAAAGAAAAACAAGCCACATACAAGAAAAGGGTGTCAAAATGGCTTCAGACCCTTCAGCACAACACTAAACCATTGCCTTCCAAATTCTGAAGTAATGTTATTTCAAAAAGTATTTGTTACCCAGCAAAATTATCAATCGAGAGTTAAGGAAGTACAAAGACATATTCACACAGACAATATCTCTCATACATCCTTTTCAGGAAGCTACTAAAGGACTTCCTCCACCGTAATAAAAGAATAAAGCAAAACCAGTAAACAGAACACTGGGGTATTACTATTTTCCATTAAAAATTTCATGTGATCAGGTCCATGTATAACTTTGAAAAAAAAAACTAAAAAATTAATCAAATATAATAGAAGCTACACACAAGTAATTTTTTCAAGTTGTAACAGAACAATTGCCCATGTATAATTATATTTTAAATCTAGCAATGTATTTTTTAATTAAGTATATTATAGTGGTGAAAGAAATCCTTTTTAATTAGAAAAGTAAGTTAAACCTCCTTTAAATAAAATTATACCAGCAATATTAAATTTTTATAGTGTGATACTTTCATAAAGTATTTCTAAGTTGAGAAAAGTTGAACATTAATAATTGGCATAAATGAAAAAACTTCATAAATAAAATGAAGAGGGAAAAATCTACCTCTGTGAATTATATCTAAAGGAAACAAAGACAAAGCAGAGTCCTTTAGTAATAAAATTGTTCTTGATGCCAACCTTTCAAAGAGAAAGCTGGCTATTCCAAAATCCTCTCAGAAAAGGATGGTCTAGAATTTTCTTTGACAAAGTATTTCACCAAAATACAAATGCAACAAAAAACTAAATGAGACAGAGTGACAGAGAAGGAGAGAGTGAGTGAGAAAGAGAGAGCAAGACAGAATATGCAAGCGTGTGAGTTAAAAACAGAGAGAGACAGTTACAGAGCTGAAATCTGTACAAGCCATATAGCAAGGGAAAAACTCTCCACATGACTGGAGGATATTGTTGCCTTATTACCGCCACTCTTCCCATTTCATTTAAGCAGATTTAATGACTAAATTAATCCCTAAAATTACTTATGTGCAATCACATGGTCCAAGGTTTTAGTAAACTTCATTCTCACCAGTTTAGAGAATTAACTGCCAAAAGAAGTTTTATAAGTAAGATTTTTCCACTTCAGGATAATCTTTAGAAATAGAATAGAATTAAAATATATTAGTCTTTTTAGTCTTTTTTTAGAAAAGATTTCGAAGTATCCAAAGATGATTAATATGATTATGTTCTTAGTGCACATACAAAAACATTCTTGAGTGAACACAGGCAAGTTAATGATAAAATACAACTAAAAGTTGAATTAATACAACTGCTCTTTAATGCTTTTAGTTGTATTTAGACAACTAAAAGCATTAAAGAACAAAGAGTTATTTAGCCATCCAAATAGTAGATATAACATAAACATATGTTTGAAAATCTGTAAAATAAACATAAAGCACATATACTATTCAAACACAGCCTTAAGAAGTATTCCCTATTAAGGCAAAGTTGCAAGGTTAAAAGCCCGAAACTACACTTCTTACATAGCTGGAGATGCAGACAACAGAATCACCTAAACCGAGCTAATAGTGAAAACCAAGCTCCCCAAAGCAGTAAGTATAACTGAGAAGAAGGGCAGAGGCAGGAGAACAACAGAGACCTGAGGAATACCCACAGAAGAAAGCTAAGCCAGAAACATAACAAAGGCGGCACAGTCAGCAAGGAAGGGATCGGGGAAGAACGATGCCATGAAAACCAAGAGAGAAGAGGGCTTCAAGAAAGAGCCAGCAAAGACAGAGGCTAAATCGAGATCAAAGAGGACGAAGATAAATCAAAACCACAGCAGAAAGTGAATGGCCATATTGAATTGGTTAAGATTACCTATTTCCATCTCAACTGACAGAACTAAGAGTTTATCTTGTGGGGACGAGAGGAAGGGGGAATGGACACTTGGGAGGAACACAGACTTTAGTTATCGTTCTTGCTGTCTGTGGCCCAAGACCAACAAAAGAGAAACTCTTTCTGAATGATTTGTTTTTTCTCAAGGGCTACACTCACCAAACTGTGGAGCAGGCAAGATTCTAGCTGCTCGAATTGGGCCATGTCGAACAGAGAAGAGCTCCTGTGCTTCCCCACTGATCTGCATAACAGAACACAGAAAAAAATTTGGTAAATGAAAAAGCAGGTCACAATATTACTATACAAAAACAAGACCTCTTGAATATTATCATAATTGTTTGTCTAAAATATGTACACATACAAATACACATACACCCACACACATTTATGGTTGGTCACACACATTAAGTATATTCATATCTTAAATTACCATGAGCATTTTTAGAAAATTATAAGAACACACACTTGATATGAACAGGGAAAAAACAATCTCTCCTAGAAGTTCATAATTTTTATCTTATCAAACTACTAGAAAGCTGTATAGTTCCTGCACCATTGTCTTCCATTTTAGAGCAAAGCAACTATGATACTATTCAGGAAAGCTCAATTTAAATACTGTAGCAACTTTCACAAATATGTTGTAAATGAGAAAAAGCAATACATATTGCAAATAAACACTTAAATGAAATGTGAATAACCTAGGTACCAGTTAGAGTTCTGCAACTAACTATTTGCTAATTTTTTTTTTTTTTAAGAGATGACCAGTAAGGGGATCTTAATCCTTGACTTGTTGTCAGCACCACGCTCTCCCAAGTGAGCTAACCGGCCATCCCTATATAGGGATCTGAACCCGTGGCCTCGGTGTTATCAGCACCACACTCTCCCAAGTGAACCTAGGGCCAGCCCTCTATCTGCTAATCATAAGTAAATCATTTAACCTCCATATGCCTATATTCATTTGCAATTATAAATGAGAAGGAAAAGCTGCTAAAAAGACCTCCAGGATACTTTAAATCTCAATATTCTATAAATAAAAACTTTATTTATAAATAAATTAAAAAGTTATATGTAAGCAACCTTAATGTCACATGTCATTATTTTTATTATACAAATAGATCAAATACTGTATGAATGTTCATTCACATTGAGTCATATCACATTTATTCCTCAGATACAAAGAGGATTCTACTAATCTAAAGGATAAGAGGGGTACACTAATATGTATCAAGTGTGAAACCAACTGCTTTTCAAACATTGACTGAAATATTGAGCAGATTAAAATAGAATTAATTAAGAATGGCTTTCCAGACCTACTGTAAGTGGTAATGCAGTTCTCAATACATCTTCATAATGGTCTAGTGTTTGATGGAATACGTAATATCAGCGAAAACAGCAACCATTATGAAACTAGTTCTAAATATCCAAGATCTTAAAACAGATGTAATATACATAAAAATTCAATGCAAAAAATCGTACTGAAATACTGGATGGTAATGTTTTTAAACAGGCCTGCCAAACAAACAGTTTAAAATATCAAATATGTATACATTTTAAATGATACATTTATCAACCTTCCAATATTAAACTATAAATCTGTAGAGCTGCCTTTTAGAGAAACTACTTTTTTAGATTTTCAGCTTCTCCTCTGTCTGAATTTAAGAACTGCAAGTTATAAATATTTCTGTTTCTTATAAATGTTAAGTTATGGTAAAGTCTAAATAGCCATCATATTCATTTTGCCTGAGATAATTACTACGACTAATTTACTGGCTGCAGTGGCAAAGCCTTCAATAGCACTTGGGATGCACATGACGTGAGGAATGCTAGGACTAACAATGTGTGCAACAACAGCACCACCTATCACCAATGAAATACGCAAAAGCTATAAACTAGCAAACTGTAAGAACTTATCTGCTCTACAAATTCCTGTGTGACCCTGAATTTTCAGAATGAAAACCATGGCCGTTACACACTATGGCTCTTACATCTACATTATTACAGAACAGAATTTAAAATTTAGAAAAAGCCTTAGAAGTTTAGTTTGTTCCACCTCCCACACAGTGCACTAATCAGACATTCTCTGAAATCTAAAAATTACCATCTTGATTTTAAGCACATGTAAGTGTAAGTAACACTAATATAATCTAATTATATAACAGATGCATTATTGGCTATTTCCACCTACCTAACACTTGAAATTGTAATAATAACCAAAAGAACGTTTTTTAAAAACTGCTAAGTCATTTATATTTTGCAAATAAATTGTTGGGCAATGTTAGTCTTCTCCAATGTACATATTATTTCTATTAATAAGAAAGTAAAAAATAAGTTTTAAAATAATACTGTAAAACTTGCACTGAAATTGTAATTCAGAGTAATGGAAGACACTTCTCACTTATAAGGTTTATACTTATAACAAATTGTAGTATTCTAACATAAAATCTACTGCTCTGTACTATTATTTCCATATGCCAGAAATCTAGCATTAGCTTTTGGTTCTATCAAATAGAGCCTTAATGTTGAAAAAAAAAAAAAAAAGGATATCCATATTTAACTGAGCTGCTGTACTCAATTATATGAAGTAATAAAAAATAAAACAAATCTGTCTTGGCATACTCATATATGATAGAAGTTTATTATCACTGTATTTAATGCATAAGAGCTTAATTTGACACAGGAAAACATCGTGAAATCTGAATAAACCATGCTTTTCAGCAAAACAGCTTTCAAAACAAATCTAAATGCTCTATTCTGCTCTAAGTTTCTATTCTAAATCCCTCTTTATATATACAGCAACAGGTGAGAAAGAAACATTAGGACTGATTATGATTCTAAACTATTCTATGTGAGTCACAAATGTCAAATTTTTCAGAGAACTCTCCAAATAGTATGTGTACATTCTGCATGAATATCATCCAGAACAGAAACGGTGCTAACACTGTATACAGATAGGATGTGCACATTTTAAAAAGGACAGAGAGGATGGCTACATCCTTACAGATTCTGCTTTAACTATCATTCTGAATTGCCTCTAGTAACTTTATATGGTATATTAACTGGTAATTTTGCTTTCAAATAAATGAGTGTCAAAAGGGATTTTTGGGTTTCTTCAAAATAGCTCCTTGAAAATGTCAAAGAATTTCAGAGATTAGGATTTTATAGATCCTGGAAAGAATTATATGAAGCTGTAAGTTCACATTTATACCAACAATAACAAAAAATACAAGAGCAGAACTACAAGAAAGGGGTATACTAAGTGGTGTTCCAACTTCCTGACAACTGTGGTAACTTGGGAAGAGGAGCAAACAAGGAAGAAACCACTCCAAGAGCTCCTCATGGTCTCTGCCTTTGTTCTTACTGGCATTTTAATTTCTGATGACAGACTTTTGTTGTTTGGGGCATAAACCGGAGGTACCAGTTTGGAGGCACAATAAGGAGAACAAAGAATGATTTGTTCACACTGTAGGAAAAAAAATCTTTTCCAACCATAGAAAATAGCTTTCGCATGGTGAAAATATGCAAATTACATACCAAACCCAAAAAAGGGTGGGAGGAATACAAGTTTAGAATCTCACAACTCAATCTAAGTCAAAAGGAAATTACAACACCCAAGACTATAATACACACACAAAAAAGGCTGTAAAAGTTCTGAGGGAGCTGTACAAATGCTTTCAGTGAATTTTAAAAGCAAATGAAGGACATTTAGCCCTGGGAGCCAACTTTATTTCTGAAATCCTGATGACTTTTCATAAGCTATCTGACTACAAAATAGAAAATTCAAATAAAAAGGTCAATAAAAATAATGCTCCACAATGCCACAGAATCAAAACAAGTGTACACATTCACACCCCCAACACTTCCCCTATAGACACTGGTCAAATGGAGGACTGTGATCTGCAAATGATTTTTTTTTTTTTAGCAAACTTTATTAAAAGATAACAAACAGAAAAAATACTCAAATCATAAGTATATGTACAGCTCAATGAATTTTCCATGTTAATGCACCTCTGTTACCAACATAGACATCAAGAAACACACATCATAAAAATCAGGTGGGCCTGCCATGTTCCTTCCCAGGCATAATCTCATCTCAAGAATAACCATAACCACAATCCTTTCTTCTAATACTTAACATAAGTTTTATTTGTTCAACTTAATATAAACTAGATCACATGGCATGTACTCTTGTGAATGGTTTCCTTCACACATTACTTTGCATAAAAAATTGATTCATGCTAATAATGGTCTTTATTACAATGACTCTCCATGACGGCAGATGATGTAAGACTTTTGTCTGGAAGGACCCTTGATTCCCAGAGATGGGTACGATAGCGCAGAAAATGAATGATATTCAAGAACTCATTTCAGCAGCTCTGAAAAAAGAGCATTTTGTACCTAATTGAATTTATGTCTTAATTCCAAATAGAATTATGAACAATTAGTTCCCTGGCACTAAAGTGAAATGGATGGGTTATAGCAACCCAATGTCCCTTGAAGTAGAAAAATATTGGTTTGTAAAATTCAGGGCTAGGGCTGGCCAGTTGGCTCACTTAGTTAGACCGTGGTACTAATAACACTAAAGTCAAGGGTTCGGGTCCCTATACTGGCCAGCCACCAAAAAAACCAAAAAAATTCAGACCTATACTTTCGAGTCTAGCATGTAAGGAGCATAGAAGTCTTCACTTTGTCCTAACAAGAAAAAGCCAAACAAACTAAAAATCAAGAATTCTTAGATCCATCAGAGAAATGAGGTCATAGGACAAACTACTGCCCCCCAAATTAGAGAGAAGGGCCAGAGTAAACAGAGAGTCACAAATTACGGGAGCAGAAATCCAGAAGCAGAAAACTCCACAGGAATCAGTACTAAGGTAGGAAAACCTAAACCGTAATTTGTGAATTGCTAGAGGTTCCATGTGGACAAGCCTGAAAGATAAAAACTCCAGGGGGACCTAGTCATAGGAGGGGCCTCAGACTTTTACATGTTCCATCTACCTCCTGGAGCTCTACCAGAACTCGACTGGGTCGTAACAGTGAATATTTGAGAAAAATCCCCTTGAACCTCTGGCAGTGGTTGTCAAAGTAGAACCACTTTGAAATATGTCAGAGCATTCTGTCCTTCTTAACGAGGCCTGCCCTCAAGAGAAACTATTTTACCATAGCCTATCCTGCTGTGGTTATATCAGAGCCTAACTTTCCTGGGGGAAGGGAAGTACCCTACTCCAGTCCCCTCTAGCCTTCCTG